TTGCAATTAAAAATATTTATCCTTTATTGAATTGAAAACTTAAATAATATTGTTACATACAGGTTGTCCAACTGTACTCAATATTTTTTTTAGATTCCTCACACCTGGGCATACGAAAATACCCCATTATTTGTTTTTATTTGGTTATAATTTTTTTGTGTTTTTGAATTTTTCTGAGCGAGTTTCAAAATTCCTACTTTTTGTTGTGTATGCAGTTTTTTGAAATATTTCTTAATTTTTCAAATAAAAAAAATCTCAGCTTCTATAATTAATTAAAGCTACTCAAAAGTTTTAAAGTTAGAATTTAGTTTTTAGCTGATTTGTCCAAACATTCGACTTCAATTTAAAAATACAAAAGAAGTTTCCATAGTTCTGGCTAAGTTTAAAAACTCCGCAGGTTCTAAGCTACCAAAATCAAGAAAAAATGGTACTTAATTGGTATTTTTGTTTAATCGGCCTTTAAGGTGATAGGCTAAAAATTATTGAAGATTAATAATTTTTTTTCGACTTTTGTTATTCTTATGGTAAATTAAACTTTATAATGTGATTTTAATACCCATTAAAAAGTAGCTTTCCTTCGGGTAAACCAGCTCTTTGAAAAATCCCCAAACGTTATCGTTATGTATTCAAGTTGGAGGAAGGAGTTTTGAAAATTTATTACAATACTAGCTGATTCGGCAAACGTCTTTTTCCATGTATATCATTTATAATAAAAAATAGGTTGATGTAGAGGGGTGAAAATTGGGGTTGTATGTATTTTTAATGCTGTATATGAAAAAATAAAAAAATCTTTAAAAATTCAAAGTAATAATTTAGAGGTGGACTACCCTTAACATTAAGGGGATGAAAATAGATGTGTCCGATCTCGACATACCCAATATGCATAAAAATTTCATGAGAATCGTCAAGCCGTTTCGGAGAAGTTGGAACGAAGTTGAGTGTCAAAACACCGGAGAGAGAATTTTATATATTAGAAATAGTATTTTTTCAGTAAATTGTGTTTTTATTTGTTATTAAAAAACAGGTAATTTCACAACTAGCAATACTCATTTCGAATAAATTTTAAATTTTGAGTGGTAAGACCAAAATTATTGTAAGGATTACAGAGCTACTTTTTTACGGTATTAAAATTAGTAAAAAATAGATCGTAAAGTTTCATTTTCATAAGAAAAATAAAAGTTAAAAAGAACAGTTATAATGTTCAATGATTTTTTGCCTTTCCTCATTAAAAGGCCGATTAAGCTAATTTATTTTACGGTAATAAAATTAATTAAAAAACCACATTATTAAGTTTAATTTACCATAAGAATACCACAAGTCGAAAAAGAACATTTTTAATGCTTCAATATTTTTAGCCTATTCACACAAAAAAAACCACCGATTACAACAAAAGACCAATTAAGTACCATTTTTTTCTATATTTTGGTAGTTAGAACCCTGAGGAGTTTTTAAACTTAGCCAGAAGCTATGGAAACTTCTTTTGTATTTTTAAATTGAAGTCGAATGTTTGGGCAAATCCAGCTAAAAACTAAACTTCTAAATTTAAAACCTTTTTTGAGTAGCTTTAACTAATTTTAAGAAGCTGGATTTTTTTACTTGGACATCATTTAAGGCAATCATTTAACAGGAAAAAAACTGCAAAATACCTACAACAAAAAAGGTATGAATTTTTGAAACCTCGCTGAGAAAACATTCAAAAAACACAAAAAATGTATAACTCGAAACTAAAAAAATCGTGGAACATACATGGGGTATTTTCGTACCCCAGGTGTGAGGAATCTAAAAAAATTTATTGACGTCACTAGTTGGACCAACCTGTATACACGTACATATTACCATCTTCTCTTGAAGACAACCAGAGAAACACTAACACGTTTTTTTTTTTTTGAATGGAATTCGCTGTTGGCCTTTAGGGCCTTTACAGCTCAGCTCGGGCTGTTTTGGCGAGCTTAGCTCGGCCTGACTATCACGTACGGAATGAGGCAGCCTATTTATATTACATAACCGTGGTGAATGATTTGTCATAACAGCTAGAGGTATTCGAGGGGTATTACGAAAACTTGAAAGGGAAGAGATGTACGACAAGGATTCCATCAAACAAAATAAAAACAGACAAAATACATATTATTTAATAACTAAATCAATTTTTCTTTAACTGTTTTCCCGAAACGCGTTATTACGTATTTACGTCAACGGGTACGTTTTCATGAACGTGAAGTGCCAGTCCGGTTAGTGATCTTCAAATTGAAGATCTTAGCCACGATTTAATTCTGCGCAACGTAGAGAAAGACCTTCCTGCTGTCGTTTACTACAGGGTAGTGTATCCAATTTTCCTATATATAATATTGATGTCACAATTTAAATAAGACTATGTTAGAATTTGAAGTTTATGTTCCGATTCCGATTGAGGTAAGGTCTAGCTAGACTTTCATAGGACAAGGGCGCGCAAGTTGGCGCGGAAAATTCAAAATTTCAAATTTTCAACATCATACAAGTTATTATATTATATTAAATTAATTAAATATTGAAGGTATGTATTAATATAATCTGTATGGTGACAAATTTATATATAAAATCATTATGATCAATTAGTGGTCCACCTAAGTCCTGTCAGGGGGGTCATGACCCATGACCCCCTGGATCCGAGTTGAGCATGACGTACAGACCGGTAACGCAAGTTCGGCTCTGTATATCGAGAGCAAACAACGTAGGAACATTGAGGTATTTGCTGCTGCGGCAAATTAATAGACTACCCAACATAAAATGTAAATTGATAAACTACTTTTATATGCATTTGTCGCGCTCCTAAACAAGACTGCTATGGTTACATTCATACAAAGTGGTTTTCTAATGTAACATATCACGATTATATTATTCTGTAAAATAAATAAATTAAAAAGAACGGTAAAAAATTAAAACTCAACATTACTTATGTCCATTTAATCGAATACATGATTCCTGTAAATTTTTATATGTCAATTATAAAAATCATATACAATTTTATTAGTACACAAAGCATATTACATAGGAGATTCTATTACAGTAATAATGCTTAGCCGAAAGAGGTTATCATTTCATGATCACATTGCAAGACTAATTTCTAACATAGAGGCACTTCTCCCAGTGAAAACTCACCACATGCATTACCATAACCAAAACCCAAAAGCTATATACCTTATCATTAAAATAATATAAGGATTGTATCCTGGAACGTATTTCAAGGTGACAATTGTATTTTGACAAACTAGTTTCCTAGGATTTACTATAGCTAATAATCATTTTAATTATAAACAAAGTTATAAATTAAAAGACTGAGAGACGACTTAGGATTGCAAAGAATTAGCGGTTAAGTAATGTCATATGGTCTACAGATACTACTAACTTGAAATACGTTAAATATATAAGAATAATATTGGAATACTTGTGCGATAACGCGCCTATACAAGAGTATTGACTAATTAAAACTAAACTAAACTATATCGAACGTGGTGAGTTTAAGCACTTCTTATTGAGGCCTTGTTTTGCACCTAACTTACACTTATTTATACATAAAATAGCATGGAAAACGGACTGGCACTTAAGCAAAATAGTGACTTATAAGTTCTACTTAAAATTCCTAATATAAAATGCAATTAGGAATTTAGTTTGTGCACCAAATACAAAAATATATACAAAATAATTTGATTTACGAATTCATTGGAATTACATGAACTTAATTTTAACTAGCAATAAAACTTTAAATAATTACGGGGCCATCATTCTACTTCCTTACTTCGAGCCTTTACCATACTAAATATATATTTTTGTTGCTAACAAAAGAGTGAGTTATATTACTAGAAATAAATGATGATTATATCATTTATTTAAATTATCCCCTAACACCTTCATTAGACTTTGATTTTTTTTATAGAACCGATGCAAACCTGAACACCCACACTGCCAGAAGGCAAGTGCTTTGTCAGCCAGTACCAGTTTTAACTGGTACCATTTTTTGAATGACTCTGTGAATAGTAGCAATTTTCTGGAAGTTCGAAACAGGTGATTGCTTTTGGTTTGTAATGAAATCTAGCCCCGCAATTTTATTAATATAAAAATAATGCAGTAAAGAAATACTTAAATAATACAGTCAAGTGTCCCTTTACTTCAAATTGTATTACTATATTTACATTCCAAACTAAATAAATGACTTATAGGCCTTGAATATTTTAATAGGAAACTCGATGGACTTGTTTTATTAATGGCCGTGTTCAATATGTCCGAGTAAAGTGTCAAGTGAATTTAAATAACACTGATTTAAATGGTAAAGAGAAGTTCAGAATTTAAAGAAAAAATAATGCTGCAAATGCAGTACGTTTGATATTGTATGCGCGTTGTGAAGACACACTTTACTCAAACATAATGAATGACGGCACTAATCTCAATTAAACAATTTTTGAGTACTAACTTGAGTATTAAGATGTTAATTTCAAAAATATATTCACTTTAAGACACGGATTCATCTGGATATTGTCTAAGTTAAAATTATCGAATGATATGTTTCGTTTACTCGTCACATGTATAAAAATGTATAAAAGGCAGGCGGAAAATCGCACCCTGTATTTGCATTCCTTTAATCCACCAAAACGTGCTTAGGCAGTACAACTTGGTCACAAACACGTATAAACGAACTCGTTGTTTTGACAGCTTTTGCGTCACTGTTTAAACTGTCCATTTTAAAGAAAACATCGACGCACACACATGTGTAATATTTATGTCACCTTTACAAATGAATTAAATACAATTCGATTGACTTAGAATGGTATTGACATCTAAAAATATATTAAACAAAGGACTAAGACTGTCAAAACAAGCAATTAGATTGGAGTCAACCCTGAAACATGGCTTCGAGAATCTCTTCGACTGTGACTAAGTTGTGTACAGTTGAGTATTAAATGCTTCGTAAATGGATGCGATTCGCTTTGGTGGAAATACAATACGTACTACTTTTCTTTGTATCTTCGTCACAGCGCGCAGCCATTTCTCGTACCAAACAGCTTCTTCAATTCGGGCATTATAATACTTTTAACAACTGCGGACTGTCGGCCGGCTATGGAGTCCCGTTTTGCGTTTTTCACATAATGCTTTATACCAGGCTTGTGGATAAGGAATGCGTTGTTTAATATCATAAAGTCGTAATCCTTTACGCAAAGGATGTAGCCCTGAAAATTAAGTTGAAAATTAATTAAATAAGCACAAAATTTTAACTGCTAAACATATTTGTCTTAAAGGATTATTGATTTCAACAGAATAATATTGGCCTGAACAATGGTTTTTCAGCTGAATATATACTGCTCGAAACAATTAGCGGAACAAGATTTTTCTCCTCTCTATTGCTTAAACTAAAATTAGATTTAAATTAACTTGTACGCTATTTTTTACCTTGTTAATTTGTTAATTACTACAATTAATAAAAAAATTCAATTTGTATTTTTTTTTATTAAAAAAAAATTAAAATGTGCATTGTAGACGAAAAACTAATTGGTGATAAAAAAGGTCCATCAAAGAAATATTCTTATATCGTTTGAATATTCGTCTTTAGTGACTTTCAGTAACGTGTGTGGCCTCCAAGAGCCCTAATCACGGCTTGAAAACGACGCGGCATGCTTCGTATGATCCTCCGAATATCTTCTTGTGGAATTCGCTCCCATTCTTCAATCAACGCTTCAGTGAGCTGCTGCAGTGTTTGAGGTGCAATCGGACGCTTCCGGGTGCGCCTGTCAAGCAAGTCCCAAATGTGTTCAATGGAAGGCCACTCCATTACACGGATTTCCTGCTGTCGTAAGTAATCTGACGTGATGGCTGCAGTATGCGGCCTGGCATTATCTTGCATTAAAAGAAAATCTGGGCCCATACCATATGCTGCGGGCCAAACATGATCTTCGAGCACATTTTCAATGTAAGTTTGAGCACACAAGCGCCCGTGAACAACGACGAGATCTGTGCGCTCGTCCAAACTAACTCCGCCCCAAGCCATCACAGAGCCACATCCAAATTTGTCATATTCCTGGACTGCTGCTGCACTGTATCGCTCGCCTGGGCGTCTGTAAACACGGAGACGACCATCGCAACGTGTTAGTGGGAATCGTGATTCGTCAGTAAAAAGCACTGGCCTCCAATGTCGAAGTTGCCAATTAGCGTGATTTTGCGCGAACTGTCGGCGAGCTTGTCTATGTTGAATTGTTAGACGCACAGCCCGAACTGGTCGGCGTGATCTCAAATTGGCTTCCAACAACCTATTTCTTACCGTCTGGTCGGAAATTTCTACACCAGTAGCCGTCCTTAGTGTATTTTGTAGATCTCTTGCAGTTGTGGTGCGGTTACGTAAAGCACAGTTGACGATGTAGCGATCTTGCAAACGTGTAGTTTTTCTCTTTCGACCTTGACCACGCCTTCGTGAGTATTCTCCCGTCTCACGGTATCGCTCCCAAAGTCTGTAGATAACAGAAGGGGCTACTCCTAGATCATTTCCTACATAACGCATAGTTCGACCCTCTTCAAGCAAAGCGATAGCTCGGGAGACATGCAATTCAGTCAGATCTGGCATTATGACCTAAACTCACTCGCTTCAATGAATAACAATACTCAAAAGGCTCACTTCAATTTCTATTAATACTCAAAAGATTGAAAAAACTACTTAAAATGTGTTTTCTGTGATTAGAAAGTACCTAATGAAAATTCAAAGACGTCACTTTGTTTTTCGTCTACAATGCACATTTTAATTTTTTTTTTCATAAAAAATACAAATTGAATTTTTTTTAATTGTAGTACCTAATTAACAAATTAACAAGGTAAAAAATAGCGTACAAGTTAATTTAAATCTATTTTAGTTTAAGCAATAGAAAGGAGAAAAATCTTGTTCCGCTAATTGTTTTGAGCAGTATATAATAGTTTGCTATCTGAAACCTCTTTGAAAGTGGTGACACACGAAAATATTTTTTTATAAAATCTAAAGGAAATAACTGAGAATTTTATGGATGTTATTATAAAATAAGCCTAAAGCTAAATGATTGGCTTGTATCTCACTACTGTTTAATTTTAAATATAAATAAACTTTACGAAATATTTTACGCAGCCTTTATGTACCTGCGTCATTTTATCCTTCTTTCCATCCCAGCTTAGCCGCTCGTCATAATAGGGATCCTGGTGAGTTCCGATGAAAATCGGCTCCCAATGCACGAATTTACCACGTCGCTTACCAACGTGAAATACATCCATCTCTGTAACAAGTTAAAATTTATTAATTTCTAGATTTAAAAAGACATTAACTGAAAAGACTGAGCTTTGAGATTCACTGAGAATTTTTAAAGACTGTTATTGCGCGAGCCACTCCAACGACATAATTATTTAATAAAACATGTTTATATCCTTATTCTCTTTGATATGTTTCTTTACTTTATATACGTATATAATATAAACAACACATCTGTTATAGCACGATATTGGCATAAGCATAAAAGTATTCTATACAATTCGATTGTCGCGTCATTGCGCAAGAGTTGCGATTTTACGAATCAGCCTACGTACTACTTACGTAAGTATTGTCCTTTATCGCTCTTACGCATGTAAACAAATAAAAGGTCGCCATCTAGTCGCTACTCTTTAAAAACATATTATTTTGATGTCTACACCCGAACAAATGTTTCCTTAGCGTTCTGTACTACCACGCAAGCATATCGATTGTCGCGTCATTGCGCAAGAGTTGCAATTTTGCAAATTATGAAGCCGTAAGTCGGGTAGCCAGTTCATTGACCCATAACACAATTAGCATGCCCCATACGTCGCTATTTGCCATAAATAGCATGTTCGTATGCTATTTACGGCTTAGATAGCTCACGATACTAACACTCTTGAGATTAATTGCTTTACAATTACACGACCGCTCATTTGAATGCTATTTAAATTTTTCTAACGGTTTCAAAGTGCATTCGAGAGTTCTCGTAATTACCTACTAATTGATGGTTCGCCTTTTTCGTGTTTGGAAAACCGATTGAGTAATGCTTATATTTTGCTGGACACACGGAAGTATTTATTACATACACAAAATGGTTAAAGATATATAATAGATAAATAAAATTACAGAGGAGTCTGTCAGTTGGTCATAGATATTTGCAAAAACTTTGACAATTTACATGATTGGCGGGAATATTTATGACATTTTAGAAATTATTAAAATTCATAGATTTGTTTTTTTTTTCGTTTTATTGATTATATTTTAACTGAACGGAATTTGTTTATAAATTGTAACATTATTTTAATAATATTAGTTAAGTTGTTTTAGAGCAATAATATAAGGATTTTTGTCACCATTCTTTAATTTAAAGAAAACGTTGTACTCATACTATTTTTAATACATACGATTGGTCTCAGCCGCATTCATCCATTGCTGCCCCTGTGGTATATTGTGGCAGTTGGGGCAAACGAATTTATGAAATGGTATTGCTGTTTTGTTCGCCAACATGGCACGAAGCTCTGTTTTTGAAGATGGCACCTGAAATGAGACGTTAATAATTATTATTTAACAAATAAATTAAACATTGATTGTTTGAATTACTTTTAAATAATAGTATTTATATGCAATGTATATATTAAACTATATAATAAACACAAATTTATTAACAGCTACGTAGCTTATGTAAATAAATTCGAGATAAGGAGATAAATTCTTTAAGAAGTTTTATTTAAATGTAATAGACAACAGCTGAACAAAGAAACAAACGTAAGCACGAATATAAATTATTTCTTTTGATTATTCCAGTATTCGTTAAGATAGATGAGACCCAAAGTATGGTACCAGTTCTTAAAAAGCCGGAAACACACTTGCGAGCAATGTGAGTCCATGAGCAGCGGTAACACTTAACATCAGGTTAGCACACTGCAGGTTTAACCCCTGTTACATGGTAAACGCTGTGTTGGTGATGCATTTATTTTGCATACGTATATATACGCTACGAATACATAATGAAACTATTTCGATAGTTGTATCAAGTATGGGCCAATCAAAAAAGATCGAAATAAAATAATGTTTTGTCACGTTTACATATTTGAATAAACATTAGAGTGACAAGGACAAAACAAAACAGGTATAAGAGATCTATAGTGTTTTATAAGCATTTTCAAAAAAAAATTTATTAAATGTACCTGATATTTGGCGTCAACTTCGAATATACTTATTGGGAAGACTCTTGGCTTGGTAGATGTGCTTAATGGCTTTGCGTTCCTCGCAATCATATTCAAGAAACGCGGTATTAAATTCGGACTAGGGTACAACTCTATATCAGAAGGAAGAATGTAATGTGTAATTGCGGCATCTCTTGCAACATTTCGTGCGACATTTACTGGGTACAGCAGATTTTTCTCTTTCATATAAGTCGAGTTCACATTTTCGTATGGCGGCTTGCCAGAGCAGTTGTATGGTGTTTGGAGTAGCACGTCTGGGTCTGGAATCTGAAATAGAAATTGTCTACTTAGTATATCACATATTTGATATAAGCGTCTATAACAAGCGTTTTTTTTTTTTTCCCCCCCCCCCATATTTTCCCCTTTCTCCCCCGTTTTTTCCCACCCCCTCTTTTCTAAAATATATGACAATTATGGTAAACATAAATGTTACAAAAAATAAAATTACAACAAAAACTTCTAGTTTTAAATTTTACTAGTAATTCTTTGCTTATTATAAAAATACTAGAAAAACAGCGGATTTGGTTTCTGATAGGCACTTAACAATGCTTTTTTTAAATATAGAATATGTCAAGCTCTGGATAAGTAGTCTTCTGTTATATTCCCGAAGTATTCGAAGAGAGATGCCTAAATTCCGATATTCTATTAGTACAGTCGTTTAAACAAATTCACCATAGACTAACTTGTAACTGCACTAGACAATGTTTTTAATCTATGATGGATTTGTTGCTATATGAACTAAGAAGCTTCCCTGCATCAAACTTTAACTAATCTGGCATTAAATTCGAGTTACACCGTTATTCAGATAACATTACCTTTATGTAACTTCCAAGCCCCCGACATTTTTTGTGCTAACCCAAAGAATTGTTTCACCGGGAATTTAATCCAATGACCTTTCGTCAAATGTAAACCACTAAGCCACCGCGGACTTTGTTTTTTAATATATGCCAAAATACCAACCTTACTAGGAATATGCTTATGAGAGAAGAAGATGTGGAAGGTCACAAACTGCTTAACTATCTCGTCGCTCAGACAATCCCGTAAGTATCTGATGCTGTTCACGGCGGGAGTCAGGTCGGCGCCCGGCGCGTGAATAGCCAGACTCACTGGTGCCATCCATCTGTGTAAAAAAATCACGGTTAAAAAAGTCATAAATACTTATCATAGCAAACTAAATATGGTATAGTTTCTCATAGTTTTTATTTTTGAAAACTAAGAGAGTGAGAATCTCAAACGAAAGACGCAATGATTGTATGTACGTAGTATTCGATTCTGATTGGTAAACAGCATCTTTAGTTCATAAGAGACTTGATATTACGTCCGTATCACAATCTTTTCAACCGTTTTATCTTGCGTATTTGTGTTAAATAGGTACTAATCCCCCAGAACGTTTGTTAGAGGAATGTAGGTCCATATAGTCCGGGGTCCACCGCCGCCCATTTTTGCACTTGATTACTATCAAGCTAATTTTCCGTGGGTAGCTTTATTTTGATGGAGACGCCCAATAATTTCCTGTACGAAACTCTCGCGGTTGTGGTAGCTAAGCAGAAGTAGCAAGGATAAAATATTGATTTGATGATTCTCAAATATTTATTACTAACTGATTTTTTTTTGTTAAATCTCAAGACAATTATCTAAATTATTCGGAAAAATATTTGTCCTACAAAATCTATGGTTTGATCAAAGAGTCCCCTCTTTCCGACATGTATCGATAACGAGGTCATCATAAATGATTACTAACCAGCTGATTTATTTATTTTTACTTAGTTAATATTTATGTAATTTAACAGACATATTGTCCTACAAATTGCGCGGTACGTTATCCTGGTCCTACGCTCAAAAGTAGTAGTACAGATCCTTGATGTAAAAATAATTACTATCAAGCTGAATCTTCGTGAATAGCTTCGTTTCGATGAGTCGTCCCAACAATTTCCTATGCGAAAATTCTCAATTATGGTAGCTAACAGAGGTAGCAATGATAAAATATGTCGTGGGTTTCTGTATTTTGCTACTATCAGCTGAGTCGACACCGGTATCGGCGGTACGCATGCGCAGAGCATTGGCTTACTGCGGGTTAGGTATCCCGTTACGTTGGTGTCGATCATAACCTGCAAACATTTTCTCAGTCGACCACGTGTTTTATTTTATTTTGATAAATAATTTCAAGAAATTTTTTGTGTGCAAAATAATGATGGAGTGTTTTTTGTGTAATTCGTTATGTGAAAACTCTACTTTTCGAGAGAAAAAGTGAAGAAATTTAATAAAGATTTTGGCTTTCTTGCAAAACTTTTCTATCTGCTCGAAAGCATCATCTACATAAATATCGAGATGTTATATTACCTGAAAATTGGAATGACGAAGTAATAGGTTATCATTCCTCTTGTTACAAATAATTTCGAGTGAAATCTAAATATTTGTCTTATGAAAGGTAAGTCGATCGAATATTTACTTACTTTATTTTTAAAATAATTGAAACATAATTTATTAAGTTCATATTTTTACGTAATTATGTAAAATCGATCATTAGCATTGTAACATTCTATTGTAGCATTGTATTATTGTTACATTCTTTAAACAATAATTTTTGATAGTATATTATATTTACAATAAATTATTATTATCATTTTTTTATTGTATATTTTATTTTATTTGAGTCAGATATCACGAGTGAAGATGGTGGGGAACGAGGGGAGGCAGATGAAGATGATAGCGATGTTAGTAGCGAAGATTTATTATCAGATGAATCTGATGAAGATTAACTTCTTTATATATGAATACACAAAATTTTGTACCTAGATTTCCTAAAAATAAAGTTATTTAAATTTTAAAAAAGATTTTTTCACTGTATCTTATTTTAAACAAATAGGAAAAAGAAAAATTAAATTCTTGTCGGACTAGTGATACATACCTGTTTTCTTGTAGGACGTTGTTTCATTTGGGGCAGAGAACACACTAACCTATTATATGAATTTTTGTCCTACAGTTAGTAATGAAAAAATGGTCTTGTGGTATTAACAATTTCTGAGCGTAGGACCAGGATAACGTAGCGCAATTTGTAGGACAATATGTCTGTTAAATTACATAAATATTAACTAAGTAAAAATAAATAAATCAGCTGGTGTATATTTATGATGCCTCGTTTCGATACATGTCGGAAAGAGGGGACTCTTTGATCAAACCATAGATTTTGTAGGACAAATATTTTTTCGAATAATTTAGATAATTGTCTTGAGATTTAACAAAAAAAAATCAGTTAGTAATAAATATTTGAGAATCATCAAATCAACATATTTTATCCTTGCTACTTCTTGTTAGCTACCACAACCGAGAGTTTCGTAAGGAAATTATTGGCGTCTCATCAAAATAAAGCATGCGGAAAATTAGCTGAAGAATGTCAAAAATAGGATCCCCGGACTAATAGCAAAATAATACAAAAACCTCAAAGTTGTAGTTGATTGCAACTACGTAAACCATGTTCATTTTAATACTTCGTTATCCAAAACGATTAGAAAATTAAATTATTAGAAACGAGAAACTTAGGTAGGTACTATGTTAACAATAAGACATATATTAGATATAAAAAATCTAACGAATTGAGAATCTATTTTATAATTCCTTAAAACAGGAAATTTCGTACAAATAAATATATTTTTTTAAATTAAATCACTTTTACAAATATTCTTATGAATCAACATATTGCTACCAACAGGTAGTATAGCCACTAGCTTATCGTGCTGTTGCATCAAAAGTCTTTCTGCCTATGCCGTTCGTACGGTTAACGAAAACATCATGAAGAAACCGGCATGCCTTAGACTAGTGTTTCTTAAAGGGGCCTGTGGGGCACAGGGGGCCAATTTGTTTGTTAAGGGGGGCAACCGAAAAACTTGAGACTGAAACTAACCAAACTGGATCCTAATATGTCTGTGCAGCTTGCTCAAGCGCAAGGATCTCACTAATTTAAAGTAATAAATTAATATAGAAAAAATCTTTATTAAAACTATTACGGATTTGAATTTCAGTATTTTTATACATGTTTTAAAAATTTACTTACTGTGTTTCGTTAACGATTTCCTAGTGATTTCTTCCTATAACCTATCATTAAGTTTCTGAATTCAATTTTAAATATTAAAAATTATGTAAGAAGAATTTTAGAAAGGCTAAGGTGGGGCAAAAATTAGGTTGGGAAACACTGCTTTCGACCTAAAAATCGACGGCGTCTCTTAGGCACAGACGGCTGATCTCCTATTTGCTTATAAAAAACAAAAGTTTACGAAACACATACGGAAATCTGAGGCACACCTTTTTAGTTTGTAGCGCCATTGGATGTTTTTGTTTCAAAAATAACAAACAAACTAATTAAATGAGCCATGTCGTGACTAGAAAAGACATTTTAATTTTTAATCAATATAATGATGTCAAGTCGATGGGAGTGTTCGCGTGACGAGGGTCATTTACGCCTGTACGCCGTCTATCGAACATCAGCTAACAAAGTAACGATTCAAGTATCAAAGTTTTGTTTGCTAATACTGCCAGTACACCGTTACTTTAATAGCGATTTCAAATGAGTTTTCCTACGTTATTTTAAGGTTAAAGCGTGAGTGCTACGGATATTGAAAGAACTTCATCGAAAATAAGATTTCCCGTTACATTCACGTGATGGTGTGTCTTGTTAGGCCTCACTAAAAAGGAAATCCACCCTAAGGGCTAAGTAATTCAGAGTCAAGTCAAGGGTATGATTCAGAAACGAGACTTATCGCTTAGTCTGCCTCCCTTACGTCAAAAATGTATTGGATTTTGATATACGAAAGTATTCTATAATTCGCGCCACAGAATTATTAATTATTTTTACCCACAGAATTGACGATAAAATACAGATAAATTTAATACAAAAGCGTAACGTAATAAAAGGACTTTTTTAAGGTTCCAATTGCATTGATTATTATCAATGAAATATTTCCTCAATGGCTTAGGTAACATAAATTACTCTGCGTATGCTTGTCTGAGGTTTTTGATATTCTTACTTGCTGCAAAACAAATAGAAACACTTTTTCGAACTCAGATTTTTGGACTTAAACTAACGAACGAAGGATTTATGGTGCCGAAAATATTGGCAAAGAAACAATGAATTAATAGCGTCAAAGTTACCTCTACGTTGCCAAAGTTAGGAATGTTGCCAAAGTTAAAGTGTTATAGTATTGATTTTGCAAGCCCGCATTAGGTATTATGTTACTGCAAATTTATTGATGCTGGATTCTCAAAAATACTACAAAACGCTTCTTCCATAGAAAGTTTATTTTCTAGAACAATCGACATGTAACAAACACTGATAATATGTTGGATATTGACACAGACTCGACAAATCGGTGATTCACATTTGATTATTTTAATTTCAGAATCATGTTAACGATTACATTTATCGTAAACATGTTTACGATGTAAGGATTGAGGAAGTATTAAATGGTTACCTAAGTAAGAATGTTGATCATACCGAGACGTAACATTTATTATCCTTAAAAATACAGCGCCACTGGGTAACAGGAAAAGATTCGGTGTCGAGACTTTGCACTAACTTTCGTATGTCAAAAACGTATTTGATATACAAGAGTCACACATGCCCTGTCTGCAGACAACCCTACATTTAGTCTACGGTTCAACAATCTTATTACCTATACTTGTTTTGCTCGTGAATGGTTTTCCACAGTATTAAAAATATGTAAAATTTAGACGGAATATTAGCTCCTCAAACGTTCGACCAATATTTTTAAAACTACAGGGTAAACTCTTTATAACGATAGTATTGTCTTTGATTAACATAACTTTTATTCATTTAATAAAACACTATTTTGACCGGATTGAAGTTATGTATTATTATAAATTTACAACTATATATATATTTATATATTCTTTATAACGAATTTCAAGGGACCATACATTTTTTTGTTATAGGAAGTGAATAGAAAAACTAACCAAATTTAACCAATTACAATAATTTCTTATTTTATTACTATCAATAGCGTTATTCTAAACACATAACGCTTTTCTCTCACTGGCCATCTTGAAAGTTTCAAAGTTTGATAATACACGATAGGTGACACTTGTGCGTTTAGTAACTGAGA